ATCGGATGTCACTTTACCTCGGCTGACTTCACTGCTTCTTTCACTTGAGGCATATTGTCGTTAGTAATAACTAATTTACACTAATTCTCATCGTATTTTCATAATTTTGTCAGACTTCATTTTTCTTAATGCCGGCAGTGCACCCGATTCAAGTGTTGCAGTGATATCTGTTTCCATATGATCAAAGCTAACAAGGCTTTTCCTGACCTCATGAGGCTGTGATTGTAACTAACCTGTTTGTGGATGTTGGCGACTGAGTGGTGTTGATCATCGTTAGCTTATCCCTAAAACCACCTGTTGTTTTACTCGGACGACTTATAAAAATGTGGTAACAAATTTCACAAAATGTGGATTTAGACAATCTTCTAATCCCGGTTAAAATCTAAGTTGCCGCAGCGACGCAGCTACATCATAGTGAAAGGCATTACAATCCATTTGTTTGGTACGAGCGTCTTTACTTTGCATACAGGTGCACATCACGTTGTTTGCAACGCCCGGTTCAGACCTGTCTTCTTTCTCTCTCCTGTCGACTAATGAGTGAAAAAGAATGCAATGCCTGTAAAATCATGTTCTCCTGTAATTGATGCACTTCTCTCCTCTGTGCTGGACTGTCAAGCATCATTTAGACAGACGTGAAAACACTCAGCTTAAACTGGCACTTACAGCATTTTTTTTTTTTTTTAGCTTGGCACATTTTAATGATGATGATCATTAAAAATCATGTTGTTGACTTTCTGGCTCAGACTGTGAGAGGACTGCGGACCATAACAACAACAACAACAACAACAACAACAACAACAACAGCAGCAGCTAGGTTTTCACATGACAGCGGCATTTTGCAAACAAACAACTCCCCTCACAAAACCTCCAAACTTCCAGAAGAGCTCACGTGCTCACAGCCGCCTCCTCAGCATCAAGCTCAAGGACACAGACTTTTGTCGAGTCATGCGAGATTTTCATGAATTTACCAGCCAAATGAGCTTTCTGTCTGCTGTGCTGTTTGCCAAGAACCAGTCGAACTCTTCAGTCAGCAGCAGGTAAACTGTCCAGACAGACTGGGACACACCTCAGACTGTCCTGTGACTGTGCTGATAGAAAATGCATTAATGAATTAATGGGTCTGTGCAGGAGACAAGCTTTTTAATAATTAGCTATCATGGCACTCAGTTATTGATGTTGGTGTCATTGAAGAGGTCTGTTTGAGGGATATGAACTTGCATTTTGATTTTATAAGAGCCTAATGTCCTCTCTATTAAATTAGTTGCCATCAACTCTGCAGCTTTTCTTCCCTCTATGTCTCTTTTACCAACGTCATCTTCCTCAAGTTAATTTACAGCATTTCCACATCTCTGCTGTCTCTCCTCCTTTGAGATTACTGTAGATTGAATGAATAGTAAGAGGGGATTCTGGCTTTTCCTTCTTACACAGAGGGAAACAAACTCACAAATACCTTTTTGTGTGCAGCTTCAGAGCAGTAAGTTTAGCCTGCGTTTTGAATAATCCCTGTTTCTCAGATGATCAAAGAGAGAGCAACACACCTTCAGCAAAGCTTAAGGTTTAATAGAACAACTGTTTTTTTTTAAAAAAAGATAAAATACACATGGATTCACAGCTACAGAGGATGGTCTAGAGGTAAAGCTTATGCTGTCAGGAAGTGTTTTGGACAGTTAACAGATCTTTTACTGCCTCAACCTGCATTTTACTGGCCTGTGTCTAGACTGGCCTTTAGCTCTATCTGGTGCAAGAAATACATTTTACATTTTTATTGTTAAATAAAACAAAGATATATAATCTTATGTCTTTTAACAGTAAAACTGTTAAATGTATGAATTAGTGCTGCAGCCTCTCCCAATTCAGACGTTTTGAAAGGTGTCTGGTTTCAGGTGGATGTGGTGTGACGCACGCTAACCTCCGAAGTTTGTAAAGCTCTAAGGGGTATTTCCCGAACTTTAAGCAGAGCTATTGATCATCATTTGAGCCAACGTAGGCTGGCGTAGCTTCAAACTCCAAGCAGAGGCATTAAAAAGAGTGGGGAAGACTCCATGAGTAGACATTTTTAGAGTCTGCCTCTCTTCCTATCTCTGCCTCTTGTCTCTTTACTTTGCGACTGTGTGGCAGCCAAATGGTAATTAATGTATTTTGACGGAGCTAGATTAAGTCACAGTTTGACAGAGATACGATGATGAAGTTCTGATTTAATTATTTGTGATTCAGCTGACTTCACTTGGTCGAAGGACTGTCTGCCTCCACCTCCACCTCCTCCTCCTCCTCCTCCTCTTCCTCTTCCTCTCAGTAGCCCAGTCTGTGTCTAAGGGCCGTAATAGATGTTGCTTTGTTATTTTGACATTGATAATGCATGGGTGTGTGAGGACTCAGTGATTACTGATTTCGTTGTGTGATGATTGATTTTACTCATGTGTTAACACAGTGAGATAAGATGTCTCTGAGTAACAAGTAATAGAAATGCTTCATTGTGAGTAATGATTTAATTAAATAAATGAGTTCAATGGGACGGACGAGGCTAAAAAACGTCCATAGAGTGTTTGATTTCATGAATCTCTGTTTTAAAATATTCTTTAGAACATCCATTATAATGGTCTTTGTGGTGATTCAGAAATAAAAGTAGTTTAGTTAAGCATACAACAAACATACAACAATACAACAAAGACTTACATACTGACTTACATACTCATCTGATCCACCTGATTCAGCAAAAAACATGTCATCTAGTCTAGTCTTGCCAACTAGTCTCATCAGACAAGTTAGCAAAGTTCAGAAAAATATCCCCTACAGACAAGATGATTCACCTTTTACCCAACCACAAAGTGGTTTGTTCTCCTAATTAGGAACAGGTGTTACGCCTAACAGGTACATTGACAATACTGGACGTTTGATATTCAAATGCATTCAAGTGCAATTCTGTTGATATGTGCTTCACACGGTCCTGATTTGAAACATTTTCGGGATCAAATCTATGTCCGTTTTGATATTTTTATTGCGTTTGTTATGAAACTGTGCAGTCAAAAGGTTAATATCTTAATTATATAAAGTATAACAAATAGAGGATTTGAATTTCATTGATATTTGGACCTTAAATAAATCAAATCTGTCAAAAATAAATAATTTTTTTCAGTTCTTCTTTGCTTCTCATCTCTGATAATCTTAATATGAAGTGTTGAATCCTCTTTTTCTCTTGATATATATATATATATTGCCTTACATAGTATAGTACAGTTAACTTCAGTTGTAATCTCAGGTCTCCGTGTACAGTATACTGTATGTATTGAAATGGTGTGTCCCTTTGTCTGGACAAACACTTTTATGAAGTTTTATGAGGAGTTAATCAAGATCCGCCTTTGTTAGCGATGAAGTGTGTGTGTGATGGGTTTACAAGGTGTTGTCTGATATTATTCAAAGGTATTGAAAGCATGTGTACTGTACAGTGTGCAGTATGTGTTTCCATTATGTTGCTGTATCCTGTGTGCGTGTCTGTTTAGTTATTAGTTATTTCCATTGACTGATGCTAATCTGAGAACCCTGTCGTGCAGCGTGTGTTTGCAATCCCCACCTGGTTTTCATAAGTGGAAAGATCAGGCACAAAAATAGTTAGGTATGGCTTTAGTGACAAGTACACAGGAAATGGATATTCTTTTAAACTTTGAAATTTTTAACCTAAGCAAGAAAGGCTTGGCATCTGGAGAATCTGTCTGGTTTTTCTATTAGTCAGCATCACTTCAGGTTTGGTCAGGTCAAAAATGACGGGATAATGACAGCAACACTTAATAGCTTTTGTACTTTTCAACAGATTCAACACAAATATATGTATTTCATCCATTTATGCGCTCATACTCATAATATTCCTGGAAGATAAGTTCTCTTTGTGGTGTTTCTGTTATGTTGTGTTGTGCCTGAGAAACTTGATCACTGAGTCTCCACTCTCCTGCTTATTTTCTCTGCATTAACCGGCACACAAGAGTTGATGCTGCAGCCCTTTGTGTGATAATCCGGGGGCGAACATTCACACAGAGACGCTCAATAGACCCGAGATAAATCCTCTTGTCGTGCACGGCTGCCATGGCCTTTTCCTCCTTTCCCCTTTGTGTTGGTTTTAAACAGAAGGTGTTGAAAAAGTGCGCCGCAGGTCGACTCTTAGGTAACTGAGGTGGCAACACAAACACAAACAGCTTCACCTGTGTCTGCAGCAACACTGGTGCCACATGCTGAATTAAGAAAACATGTTTAATCATATTATAATATACTGCATGTAATTAGCATCATAACATTATAATACTATGAACTGAATTTTTAAAGATAGTGAACATTGTTGTGTGTCTAAACCAGTCGGCTAAATGCAAATAAGTCATAGTCATTTTCATTCAGTTTACCAGGCAGATTTAAGGCAGATATAATAGCAGCTTGTTAACACAGCACTTGGGCAGTATCTGCATTGGCATGTGCTGTTCTCTAGTTGTTGGTTTTACTGTTGAACGTGTAATATTATGGTACAATACTCATGCTATATTGTGGTTTAACTGGTTGTTCTTTGATGCAGTGATGCTGAGCCCAAAGGGATAATAAATGATCTTATCCTATTAGTAAAGTTATATTTCAAAGTAGTGTCCTCCTTCATATCACCATCACGCCATTTGTCTTTTACATGTGTTGCAGAATAAAGTGAAGTTACTTAATCGTAGAAAATTAAATGCATACTTTGTCTTTGTCTTCAAGGCTGATTCCAGTTGAAATTGATATAGATATAGATATGTTAAATTCAAACTAATAAATTTAAAATCATGACTCTCACTCCTACAGTTAGGATGTTACTTGCACCCTCTGGTGGATGGCAGAAAAACTTCATGGTCAAATCTCAGTTTTGTGTCGGTAATCTTCAGACACGTTCTCTGAAAATCATACGAAACCGAAAAAAGCTTTTCACTATTCTCTCTACTCGTCTACATCTCTGTCTTCAACTCATGTTTGTCCTTTGTCTGTGCCCCCAGGTCTTCCAGAGCAGTACTACAGTCTGACGTGGTTCCTCAGTCCGGTCCTCGGCCTCATGTTCACTCCTCTGATCGGCTCGGCCAGCGACCGCTGCACTCTGCGATGGGGCCGGAGGAGGCCGTTCATCCTGGCTCTCTGTATAGGAACGCTGATAGGAGTGGCTCTGTTTCTGAATGGATCGCTGATAGGTGAGTGTGTGGCACACAATTTTGAGATAGATGATTCTTCTGCCTGTTAACCATTGCTGCTTTTCCTCCATTACATTTCAACATGATGCCCTGGAAAGTGCTAAAACTTTGCTGCACTTTAATACAGTTTAATAATCACAGGCTTTAAAAAAAAATCACACTTTAACAAATCATCAAACGTGTGTTGGAAACAATCCATCTGTACTTTTGAAAAAAAACAAATAACCCGTGCAGTATTTTATTTTCTCATATTATCTAAAATAATTAATGCAGAATGCAAGATCCAATAAACGATACACTTCATGTGCACATAGACGGCATACAGAAGCACTTGTTGAGTTTATATCTTATGATTATGTATATTGCTGCAAACAGAGCAATTATTCTATGTGAATAATATAGTTCAATTTGAGCTTAAGAGCAATATTGAATATTGCAGTTGCAGGTTAAGTGTGAAACTATATTTACATTTTTTCCAGTGTCCACTTTTGCAATTAACAATTTTTCATTAATGACTAATCTGACATTTATTTTCTTAACTAGCAGATTAATTGTTTGGTCTTTAAAATATCAGAAAACGGGGAATAATGCCCATCAATAACCTAGAGCACAAGGCAACATCATTAAATGTCTTGTTTTGTCCCAATCCCCAAAATAATTACATTTTACTAGAATGCAAGACAAAGAAAAAGAGCAAATTGTCACATTTAACAATGTGGAAGCATCAAAATGAGTCAATGAAATGTGAAAAAACATCCATTGTAACTTCCCAGAGCCTAACATCATGTCCTAATGTGTTTGTTTTGTTCAAACTGAGACATGTTTCATTTACTGTCATATATAGACGAACACGAGCAGCAAACCCTCACATCTGAGAAGCTGGAACCAGGAAACAATTTCCAGTTTTGCTTGACAAGTAATTTTATTGATTATCTAAATAGTTAAATAGCTAAAAAAAAAAAGTTGATTTACATAAAATAGCAAATAGAAATCCACAAAGCTGAGTCCACACGTGCTGTTGTTACATGTCGGCCAGAAATTACACAAGTTTACTTTGGGCCATCTGCTGAATGTTGTTATCTAACAACGCTGTTATCTAAACCACCTGAGAGTACCACGGCCCCCCGGTGGGAAATGAACCCCAAACTGATGATGAGAGCAGCACTGTCACTTTACCCAGCATGCACGTGTCCCACAGAGGAAATAACAGAACAGGACCGCTTGCATCATAGCATCACTTGCCGAAAGCTTCGCCCGCTGAGAGTCATGTCCTTGTAGTGGTGTTATCCTCAGTCAAGCCCACCACTTATTGCGTCACTCAAATGTCATTACAAGGTCATATTCATCCAATCCAATCAAACTAATTGATCACCTGTCAATCATACTACACAGATATTGATCTTGGGCTAACTATATCAGCGTAGTTCCGGTTGCAGTGTCATCAGCCATGTTATATTGCGGTTGCACACATGTAAACATGCGCGCACACTCAAAGGTGACAGTGGTGTGAGGTTTGTGTTATCACTAGATCGTTGAATTTACAGACAGTGACAAACAGAAGTTTAAGCTAAGTGGTGTTACAGTCAGCAGCTATTTTCAAACGTGTACACAAACGCTGACATTAGCCATTTGTACTACACATAAATAGCCTGTAATGTTGGATCAATAAGACCAAAACTGTGAACCACTGGAGCAACATTTGATGAAAAAGCTCTGAAGTCGAACAGATAACTGAATGTTTTCTTCAATAATCTTTCTGCTACCCTCAAACATAAATTTGCTTTGGCCCCATTTATGAATCTCAATTATTTCTGAAGGTCCTATTTGTCACATATGTTGTATTTGGTCCACATAAAATAAGCTGAACAAATAATTGCAAACATCCTGGTGGGTTTTAACCTGAGAAGATGGAGGAGAGATTGGTCGCAAACCAGCTGTAAATTGGGGTTAAACATTGATTACAGAGATCCTTATTGAACTAAAAGACAAACAAGTAGGACTGTAAATAAGGATCATTTTCATTATTACTAGATTGATTGCTCTGTAAGCAGCTACTTTATCATATAATCAATTTTATCATATAATCAATTAATCGATCCTGTAATTTCTCAAGAAAAAATAGTAAAAAAATGCCAAAGATTTACAGGTTTGTCTTTTGCTGCTTTTCTTTGTCATATCTTATTTTGAACTGAATAAAAAAGACGTCACCTTCAGCTCTGTAAAATCTTGTGACAATTTTATGATGTTTCAATGGGCTGAACAGTTAATCAATTAATTGAAAGAATAACTGGCAGATGAATGAAAACATTAGTTGCAGGCCTAACTGGTTATTGTACGGGTGTTGTCCTCAAGTTCAACTTCATACTGGTGCATCTCTACTGATTTGAGCTGTTGCCCACATTAATAACAGAGTGTACATGCTTCATATTCAAATGCGGACCAAATTGGTGAAAAATGTTCAGCACAACAATAGCGGAGCTTTTAAATGTCTCTAAATAGAATAAAGTGAAATTAATCAACAAAGGAGTTATAAATAACAAGAACGAAAGCTGTGTGAACTTTTTACTGTCAGCAGATTCTATTCAGTTCTATTCAATTCTGTTCTGGTCTACCTCCATTCTTCTGCCCAGAGGTTGGCACTCAGGTCGCTTTAGGGCACCAGGGAGTGTGTTACTGATTTGAGCTGTTGCCCACATTGTGTGTGAGAGTGTGTGAGTGTGTGTGAGTGAGTGTGTGTGAGTGTGTGTGAGTGAGTGAGTGTGTGTGAGTGTGTGTGAGTGTGTGACAGTTGACCTGTATCCGTATGAGAGAAATGAGAGAATAAAAGAAAGTGTACGTTTCCATGGTTGTGTATATATAAATGTGTGTGAACAACACAGGGTGACATGGGAAAACTGTAGTAATCTGTGTATTAGTGTGTGTATGTGAGTGTGTGTGTGTGTGTGTGTGTGTGTGTGTATGTTGACATGGGAACACAGAAGCAGGCAGTTCACAGGGAAATGCTTCCTGTTTGCTTCTCCCTTTCTACCAATCACAATTCAGTTCCTGTCTGCCTGGCTGGCTAGTGAGTAGTGTGACTCCATTGTCCCACAACACACACATACGCGCGCGCGCACACACACACACACACACACACACACACACACACACACACACACACACACACACACTTTGCCTTCTATGAACATTTTTGTTTCCCCGACGTTAATGGATTTCAGTTTGTGAAGTCATGCTGCGTCACATTCCCTCTGATATTTCACGCACACACGCATGCACGCATGCACGCATGCACACTGTTTTATGTTTTATATGCAGGTTACTAAAGCTTTCCCATTCACTCTGTTGTGTCGTTCTCATACATTGATACATTTACTCAGGCGCACGGACACAAACGCACACTGAGCAGCTCGAGGGGAAGACTGGGTCACAAATGTAATGAGACACACAAGGACACACACATCACATAAAGCAGTATGGAAAATGTGCAGTGACCTGTGTGTGACAGCAGTTGTAACTCAACAATCACGTATTGATCAGATGCGCAGCTCTGACCAGGGTTACATCACTCATTTTCTTTTGTTATTTATGGGCCTTAAGTTGAACACACTTTAAATCAACGTATTTGGTTTAACTTTGCCATTAATTTAATAATTCACCATGCAAAATTCCATCTATTATAAGATGGCGAAATAGCATTGAAGCAATGAAAAATTGTCAAATAAAATGTAATGTTATAAAAAGTATCTTATGAATATGATAAATAAAAATACTCACATACAGTATATCTATTATATCTATCTCTGAACCACTGTTGACTTATGCAACTAGCACATTTCACATCATACAGTTATGATTCTAGTTGTATTGCATTTATTGTGTTATTTGTTCTTTTGTGTTCTGTTACCTACACGATTTAACTGCCCCACCAGTGAAGAATAAAGTTATTGAATTGCATGGAGCCGACTTTGATACAGCCCCCACTGTTGGTTTGCTTGTTGTGTAACAACAAGAAAAACACACGTTAAACAATTTCCGTCTCTCTCCATCAGGTCTGTCGCTAGGTGACGAGCAGGGGAGACAACCGATAGGTATCGTTCTCACTGTGCTGGGAGTCGTGGTGTTGGACTTTTGTGCGGATGCCACCGAGGGACCAATCAGAGCGTACTTGCTAGACGTGGCAGACACAGAGGAACAAGACATGGCGCTCAATATCCACGCCGCCTCAGCGGGTACGGCTGACGTCTCACACATATACAGACACACACACACACACACACACACCATAACTTTCACAGGATTTTAATACAGTTCACATTCGTGTAGTGGCTGAAGGTTAAAGGTGAAAAAGAAGAATTCACTGAGCATGATCGACACAAATTTAACAAACAAACACCCTGAGAGAGAAACTGAGCTCATGTCTCCGCTCATCTGCTTCGTGTGACCGTGTGTGCAGGTCTTGGCGGCGCAGTCGGCTACGCTCTCGGAGGTTTAGACTGGACACACACCTTCCTCGGAGCAGCCTTCAAATCTCAGGAGCAGATCCTGTTCTTCTTCGCCGCCATCCTCTTCTCCGTCTCTGTGGTGTTACATCTCTTCAGCATCGAGGAGCAGCAGTACTCGCCCCAACATGACAGGCTGGACCATGTACGCCGTGTAGTGTAAAATTCAATTTTAATAAAATAAATAAATAAATAAATAAAAGTGGAGTTTTCATTACGTCCTCTCACTGCTCTTTTTCCAGGAGAGTCCAGATCCCACCAACCCACAGCCGTCGGCCAATGGCAGGAACGGACTTCTCACTCCCAAGTTGGAAATGATTGGAGAGGATGAAACGATGGACAGCTACGACCTCTATGACCCCTATGGAGATGACCAGTCAGAGCGCGGAGATATGGACATGGACTTTCTGGAGGTGGAGCTTGTGAGAAGTGAGTCTAATCTAAATGAAATCTTTTCCCCTTCACATCCAAAGAAACATGGGAAGGAAAATCCATGCCCCTTAATAAAGAGACAATATTAGTAGTATTATAGATAATTTAGATCTGTGTTTCTCAACCATGTCGTTGCTTGTTTATCATTTTCTCTGAATTCCTCACATCTAAACTGATCAGCCCTCTCCTTGTCTCTCTTCAGGTAAAAGTGACAGCGTTCTCGCCATGGCTGACAGCACCCTCGACCACCTGGACCATGACGCAATGTTCCTGTGCCACATAGAGCCGTCCATCTTCGCCGACCGCCTCTCGCCCTATCACGGCTCGCCACCTACCGCTTCTTCCCTCTTCAACCCTAGTCACAGCACCCCCCCTCCCCGGTTCGCCAACATCAGACGCAGCAGCAGCACAGGCAGCCAGGACCTGCTCCGCCCCCAAAACAACAACCACGCTCCCGGCCCCAGAATATCCCGCCTCTCTGCTTTCTTGCAAGAAATGGAAAACGATGACGGACAGGAGGCGCTGCTTAACAACCAGCTCAACGAGCAGCGAACCCTGAACGGGCGGCTCTTAGCCAGTGTCACTAATCCTGATAGAATTAACAGCAACAGACTGAGCTCTAAAGGACAGGCCCATCGTGCTGGAATGGTCAAAGGTCAGTGTGTTCATGTGATATTATACATTTATAATATATAAATAAAAATATAAAAATAAAATGAAGAATCTGATGAATCGTTGTCTTTACTGTTTCTGTAATCTGTCTGTTATTCCAGCTGCCAGTACCGGAGCTCCCATGAGGCAGTCACGTCACCGTCACACCTTCTACCGCCAGCCGTCCTGCACCTTCTCCTACTACGGCCGAGTGGGCAGCCACCGTTACCGCTACCGCCGAGCCAACGCCGCTTTTCTCATCAAGCCGTCTCGCAGCATGAACGACCTGTACGAAGTGGAGGCCAGACACAGGAGGAGGAACAGACAGAGAAACAGAAACCGAAGTGGAAACACCAACTCTTCCAGTGGAGATACAGAGAGCGAGGAGGGCGAGGTGAGGAGCGGGAGGAGGAATTTACAAGTCAAATAACAGACTGCGATACTATTAATACTACTACTGCTGCCTGTGATGCACTGGTAGGCAAGCAGCGCAGATCATAATGGACACTGGGCAAATATAAATACAAATCCAAGCAGAAGAGTCATGTAATACATTTTCAAGCGTTATTTTCTGCCACTAAACCTGTAACCATGGCAACAAGACAGCACTTTCCATTTCTTTCCGCTATGTGAAGAGTCTCTTTTTTTGGGCAGTATATAGTGTAATGTTGCGGTAACTTTCCTCTCGTGCTCTGTTCAGGTCGAGACCACTGTGCGGCTGCTGTGGCTCTCCATGCTGAAGATGCCTCCGGAGCTGCTTCGCCTGTGCGCCTGTCACCTGCTCACCTGGTTCTCCATCATCGCCGAGGCCGTCTTTTTCACCGACTTCATGGGACAAGTCATCTACCACGGAGATCCCACCGTACGAGCATACGCAGACTTACATGACCACTTTTAGTCAAAACTAATATTGCCAAAGTGATGACATTTCAGAAAGAGACGAGTATGAATACACAACACAGTGGAATTATGTGTTATTTACATGTATTCTTACATAATCTCTCAATATCGAAATGAGTGCAAAACGGTTTAAAGATTAAGAATATGAACACAACCAAATTATTTAAAAGCCAGTCAGAAATCATAAAATGTTATCATATTAAACATTTTAATATCCAATAGGCAACTAGGCAAAGGAACAGGTGAACTTCTCCTGCACTGAACTTCAGTCTGGTGCACAGAGGAAGAAAAACTGCCATGTCAATCTTTTCCCAAAATACAGAGTCAGGAAAAAAAAAGACACTTCATAGGTCAGAAACAACAAAGAGACTCTGTCTGCTTAGAAGGAAATCCAAAATGATCTGGTGGCGTTGACTTATGATTCTTTTGGAAAAACAACAAAATGACTTTGTGTGTGTACAGGATGGAGTCTTTGTTTTGGCCGCCTCTCAGTTCAGATAAAAACTTTGTCTGTTTTTCTCTCTCTCTCTCTCTCTCTCTCTCTCTCTCTCAGGCTCCTGCTAACTCTACTTTGCTGGATAACTATCACAGAGGAGTTCAGATGGGATGTTGGGGGCTGGTTATATATGCCATGACTGCTGCGACATGCTCAGGTAACCACACACAAACACACTTCTCACATGACATGTGGACATTATGCACATTATCACACGCAATTGTCTTCAAGAAAACAAACTCTCTGGCTGTTTATAAGCTGCAAAGTTCATGCCTGGACATTAAACTCTGGACTAAATCAACTAATCTTTCTTTTGCAGCTCTTCTTCAGAAGTACCTTGACAACTTTGACCTGAGCATTAAAGTCATCTACATCCTGGGGACACTTGGATTCTCCATAGGTATGAACCACAGTGCAGGGATAGCAGAGAACAAAATAAATGTCAGTAGCTAATAAGTAACTTTGGAATTTACCTGTCTTTTTTCCCTCCATAGGAACTGCTGTCATGGCAATCTTCCCTAATGTGTATGTCTCCATGGTGATGATCAGCAGCATGGGCATCATCTCCATGAGTATCTCCTACTGTCCCTATGCTCTGCTAGGACAGTATCATGAAATGAAAGAGGTAGAGACTTACCCTTGTTTGTTTTGACCTGACCAGGGACCGCTAGTTAGTTAGATTGATTGATTGATTGATTGATTGATTGATTGATTGATTGATTGATTGATTGATTGACTGATTGATAGATTGATGTGATTGTGATATAAATTGTGCCAGTTTTAACCTGCGTTGCTGTCCAAAAGCTGTTCGAAATGTATAAATAAACCACATTGTTGCACTGGGAGACATTATCCTGAACAGTCATTGTGGTTTATTTTGCCGTCCTACTGCTGTACATATTCACCAATCCACCAAATGATTATTCATCCGCAGCTGAAAATAGTCCCCAACAAATGCACTATTTATTCCTGTTTGAGAATCGTAGAAACTACAGTGCCCTGCTGTTTTAGGAAAGTATACATTTGTGACATCCTCAGTAGAAACCAAGAGGTAATGCATTTTAAGTGACAGACTGTTGGTTTTGGTCTTGGGTTTTGCTGACAGTAAGAAAGATATTGGATAATGACAGACTTATCCTTTAAAACCTGATCTTCAAACAAACTAAATGTTACCTTTGTTCTCTTTGTAAATGACTTCTTTCATTGGTGTGAGTGGCATTCATTAACTGTAACCTTCTCTGCTGCAGTACATCCAGCACAGTCCAGGTAACTCCCGGAGAGGCTTTGGCATCGACTGCGCTATCTTATCATGCCAGGTGTGTATTCACAAAATCTGTGTGAATAGTTTTATATGCACTGTATGCTACAGTAAAGCTAAAGAAAGGCTGCATTGTTAAGCAATCCTAATGTGATTTTTTACAGGTGTACATCAGTCAGATCTTGGTGGCCTCAGCTCTGGGTGCGGTGGTGGAAGCTGTTGGCAGTGTCCGTGTCATTCCCCTGGTGGCCTCTGGGGGCTCCCTCCTTGGATTCTTCACTGCCTGCTTTTTGGTCATTTACCCGTCTCCACACAACGGGTGAGAAAACCACCTGGTCTTCTAGTCACTTGCTTGTCATTACAGGAGTAGTTTCACATGTTAGCAAATATGCTTATTCGCTTTCTTGCTGAAGAGAAGATCGATACCACTCTCGTGTTTGTTTGCTGAATATGAAGCTAAAGAACAAACGCCAGTTAGCTTAGCTTAGCATTAAGACTGGAAACGGGAGAAACAGCTAGCCTTGCTCAAAGGTAACAAACTCCACCTTGGCAAGAAAGTGAATAATCATATTTCCCAAAAATGTCAAACTGTTCCTTTAAGCCTCAAATTCAGTCCTAACTGTTATGATTTTAATTGTGGTTGCCAGGGAGGGGGAGTCAGCCAAAGCTTCGGAGAAACGGGCCTTGACGAAGCTGGAAAAACCCAACAGCAATGAAGCGGCTGTAACCGTGGTGATAGAGAAACCCAGCTTCCTGAAACTCAACAAGGAGGGCAAAGCCACCACCACCACCACTTCCTCCCACACGGAGAATGAGTCTGCGCTGTGATCGGCGTGTTGCTGCAGGCACGACTAAGTTCACTTTTATCATCAATGCTGTTGGAAGAGACTTAAGGATGTGCCAGGGTCCTCATCGTGCTGGAGCTTGCAGACATAAAGAAGAGAGAGGAGGGCAGCCGGTGCACTCTCTGTGTCTGCTCTTGCTTTTTCTGATTCGGTATATCTTGATTTTCTGCAGGAAACAACTTAATCTGACGTGGGACCAGTGTCATACCAGACCGACTTACCCTACAAAATAATCATTCTGGTCCCAGCGCTGTTTCAGCCATCACCGAAATTCCTTCCACTTAACCCTCACGGACATTTGACTGATCCGTCAGGGTCGTCCAGAAGTGAGTAATTCACAGGTCATGGTTGTAAGGAGAGGTCGCCTCTGTCTCTCAGGGCCTCTAGGAGGTGCTACTGAGAAGCCGCCTGGACAGGAAACTTCAGGGGATTCACATTCATACATGAAAAACCTTACCCGCACACGCACACACCTCTGAATCTGAATCGAATGAACACATGAATAATGAACTCTGTTGAACATTAGTCCTCGAAGCTGCAATCAATGAGAAAATAAAACAAAAATGCTGAAAATCGTTCTTCCTCGCTGTGGAATCTGCTCGATTGAGTCTTTGCTCCGTGATGTGGACACTGATCGAGGAGAGAGAGTGTGTGTGTGTGTGTGTGTGTGTGTGTGTGTCTGCTGACTTGGCGTCTCCAGAGGAGCCACAGTGTTCACCAAAATAAACCTAACACACTCAGCTTTGCGGGACTTTTCCAGCGCTATGCGACAGTAGCTTTAAGACTCTAAAGACTTTTGGAAGTGGCATTTCTGAAACTAAGAGCCTGAAGCCTGGTTCCTGGGGGAAATGATTGATCTTGAGCACCTGAATTGATTGGGAGTGTTTTGTTTTTGCCTTTCGTCACATGGCAGAAGTGCTAAAATCTTTGATTTGACTTTCACTCCGGGGCAAAGATGACAATATTTAAGAGGCTCTGCTCTGAAGTATGGAGCATGAGTGTGAAGATGCCTGTATATAGAGAGAGTTAAAAACAGTGAAACAGTAGAGATCTTTATTGACAGAAATTCCAGGAAAGAAAGAGCAACAATGCAATATGTGCAGCATTACAGGGCATTACAATCCAAAATACTATTTTCATGATTTATTGAGGACCCAGAGAAAATGATGATGTTGATGATGATGCTTCTGTTTGTTTCGAATAATCAGACTAACCTGCATGCTGCATGTTAGAGGAGCGGAGAAGAGACAAACCAAACAGCAGAGAAGAGAGATGTGGAGTTGTTCTTTCTCTCTCCTTTTTTTTTTTTTTTTGTCTGTTTATTTAAAAAAAAAAAAAAAATGCTGTTAACACCCTGTTTGTCACTAACTGCACATTAGCTGAGCCACTGTTGAAAAAAGTGATGCAGCATTCAGTTAGAAAAGCATTGTTTGAAATCCTCTCTGAGACTTTCAGGGTGTTGGATTTGTTTGTCTTAGGTGTCCAGCAGGACGGAGCTTCCTGACACTCTTTTGTTCCAGTGGATCCAGTGACTGTACCAGTAATGACCAGTGTCTGGAGTGGGACACGGGCATATTAGAGCGGATCCTGGTAAATCTGAAAGAAAAGAATTTAGGAAACATCAGGTTTCTGGGGCCCATGTGATGTAAGAGAGAAAAACAAAATAAATCCCTCTAATGGGCCAAATATATAATCAGATATATAATCAGTAGAGAGAAGCAGAAAATAACATTTTAGCTGCTAATTACTTCTGTGTGTGGCATGAACTGGTATTCAACAGAGGAGAGAAGGATTAGAGGCGGACTGGAGAAATGTTTGCATTTAAAAAAAAAAAAAAAGTTCAACATCTTATGACGTGCTTATTGTTGTTGAGAGTTAGATGACAGGATACATACCACTCTCATGTCTGCACGGTAAATATGAAGCTACAGTCAGCAGCTGGTTAATTTAGCTTACTCTGACCGATGGTAACAAAGTCTGCCTACAAGCACCTATTTTGTTTTTTGTGCAGATTAAATAAAATATAATTACGTGTTAATTAAAGGGTTGTACAGGTGCTGGTAGGTGGATTTTGTTACCTTTGGACAGAGCCAGGCTTGCTGTTATTCCCTGCTCTCGGTCTTTATGCTAAGCTAAGCTAGTCAGCTGCTGGTTTTACCTGCATATTTATTGTAGTCATGAGACATGAGAGCGATATCAATCTTCTCATCTAACTGTGGTCAAGAAAAAAAAAAATGAGTGTATTTCCCAAAATCCTAAACTTCTGCTTTAAATGTTTGAACTTAAGCAAGATTTTGAATTATCACTAATTTTGAAATGTATGTCTTAACTTTTCACACCAAGAATAATTTACCAAATTTTCCCTTAATGAGAAATCATTATTTACTTCTAACAGCTTTAGTTAGCTCCATTGAAGATGATTCAGATCCGTTTTGCAGCCCTAAGTCCAATTTAACAAAACAGTAATGGGGCTTTTGCAAGATGGCTGCATCAGCTGTTTAATGAGGGCGTAGTGGTGGATGAGGAGGTAAAACTACTGAGCGTAGCTTTACGCCGACCCTGTTAACATCCATACACAGTGGTGAGACCATTAGGCTAATCACAAAAATATCTGATTAAAAACACAGAGGGGATAAATGCAAGTTATGTAAAACTAATCTCTTAATAGTACTTATTGATATTGAGCGTAGACCGATGAGGTTAAATAATCGTAATCTTTGGAATGTTTCCTTAGCCGAGGATGCTGGATGTGTAAAAACAAACTTGAAGTTAGAAGGGCAAAATTAAAGATTTTATTGCTGTTTGTTTTCTGACAAATCAGATCGTTTGTTGCAATAATGGCCTCTGTTAATCAGCTGGGTTGGAGGACTGTGAGAGGTTTGCGCGGGCAGAGCAGGGTTGTTTGTTCCAGGTGTTTATCCTGCCGTCTGTCAGGGTGAAAGGCCGTGGATTTGGGTCAGTTTTCCTTTCAGCTCAATCAGCTGAAACATGCAAATTGAAAGGAATCGAAATGGAAAATTGCAGTGGGTTCATTTACGAATGAAACAGCGTGTATTAAAGAATTTAGTGCAGAAGCTTATCTTAATTTTTGGGGTTTTTAGAGGAGAATTTACTCACTGATGTTGTGGTTGTTGTTTTTTTTCCACTTGGGTGGGTGTTGTTGCAGAGTTTAACCCTGTGTTTAACAAATTAGATTCCTTCCATAATTTCAGGTACATTCAGTCAGTCCCAGAGCAGAGCAAAGAGGAGGAGTATTTTGCTTCCTGGGTTGACCCTGCTCTGGTTGTGGTGCTGGGACGAAAAAAAAAATAAAAGCAGGGATGGGACGATGACAAAAGACGAGGAGGTACAGGTGCCAGAGTTTTGCACGGCTTCTGTAACCACTAGGGCAATAAAAATATTCTGGATAAAAAATGGACACACAACTTCAGTTTAAGGACAAACATGAAGATTTAAAAAACAAACTTTGGGTTTGGGAGGTTTGCATGCGATACTGCATGTGTGGAACACCAAAGTAAGACTCTGTACAAATCACTCCAAGCTCTTTTCTTTATTGTCCTAATAGGTCAGGGATGTATTTTCTAATGCATGGCTGGATGTTTGTGTCTTTTTATTTGAACTTAAATGTGTTTAAAGAAAAAACAAAAAAAACCAACATGTACTCTTTAAGCTGAAGCATTGTGCTCGGTCTGGGTCAGTACACTCTTAACAAGCATGTGACTTCTTACATTTTTGCACATCTATGAGTAAAGTGTCAGACAGCGCTCATCTTGTCGCTTTTCAGCACAACACACACGTGGACGGAAGGTGTTGAAATGTGTAAAAAGACGAGATGTGAGTCGTCTCAGGCAACACTACTTGTTAAAAGTGTAGGCGTAAAACTCCAAGCCGTGAATACTTGAAGTGCAACATGAGTGTTTTTGTTCCAATGCAGTGGAAAGTCTTTGATTTTTTAAAATTTTTTTAAGGAGGAGGGGTTGTTGTTTTTAATGTCCCAAGCCTTTTTACCGTTGACTCTGGAATGTGCAGACAGCACGGCCACTCGCTCGGCCTGCTGGGAGATTGAGTTCTTTTCTTTGATTCCATCTGGTGACTTAAACGTTTGAAAAAAAAAAAAAGTAAATGAATGTGAGTTGATTTCAGCCGAAATCGTTTTTGTTTTGATTGACAAAGCCAGGGAGGGGGGGGGTCTGACATTGCACAGAACTTGCACATAATAAGTTAAAAAGAAAATACAAAAACAGTACAATTGTGTTGCAGAAGAAAGAAAAAAAATAACTGTGGATATTTATTTTTTGAGTTTTCTTATCTATAAAGGACACTTTTCACCTAGTTTCCAAAAGAGTAAATTAAAGTTATTCTATTTGCTCTATTTGCGGGAGATGTTACAGAAACGGACTGGATTCTGTGTGTTTGTTTGTTTGTGTGTGTGTGTGTGTGAGCAGTCGTCTCACAGCTGTTCACATTTAAAGCAAAAGGCAAGAGTGTGTTAAAAAATGTCATCTCAGTGTTTGTATTTTGGTTCTTGTTCTCTGTTCTTTGCAATCACTTGGTTTACACTTAACTCTGGAGTCGATGGCTGTAATACCGGAGGTTATTTACGAGTCTTTTTGTCTCTGTTCTGGTGTTTTAACTCAACTAGAAAATGTCTTTTTTTTTTTTTTGTATCTGTTCTTTGACTTTTAGGCAGGGCCACACACAATAGTTTGGCCTTTTGCACTTTTTCAGTGGCAGCCATGTTGGCTCCACCGTCCTGATCACTGAATGAATGTGTCGATGTGGTGATGCTGTGTCATACTTCCAGCCAGCAGCTGTCTGTGGCAGCAGTGTGGCGGCCATGCAGTTAGTCCAACCTGTCCAAACTCTGTGTGTGTGTGTGTGTGGCTCTGCCTCTAGTAAACTGTGTGTGAATGATGGAGGAGAGAGATGCCTATATACTTTGATCTTCACAGAGATTAAATCAAGAAAAATGCTTAAAGAATGGGAAAGCAAGTATGTGCAGTGTACTATATATGACATGCCTTGTTATTTGAAAAAAAAAGTGTAAATATACATATTTCTCTTTTAGTTTCTTCTTTTTTGCTGCTATAAAAAAGATGATTATTTTTGTTAGTAGTTTTGTTTTCTATATAAAGACTGTATATATCTCTGTGTTCTGTAAATATGCTTGAGCCTTCATATGTAGGACTCTGGATGAACACTGTATGGAACGCACCTTTAAAATCTGTTGAGAACTAAACCAACATTGTCTCATTTCTTTATTTAACATTTTTCAGTCAAAAGCCAAAATGTGAGAAAAATCTAAACTGAAGAAGGGTCTTACCAAATGGTATTTATCGAAACATTTTCTGCCGGTGGAAGGAGAGTGTTACGTTATGTCTGCTCCTGCAGACAACAAATCACAAGTGTTGTGCAGGAAACTCAGATCAGGTGACTACAAGCTCCACATTTATTGTTGTGTTGTGAAACTAGATAATAATCAGATTACACCAAGCGCCGACCCACCGTGATGTCACCCAATGGTTTGTGAACTGCCCAACAGTATCAGCGGCCAGCGCCCCCTTCCCACTGCTCTGCAGCCATCACCAGCCCTCGCATACCTCAAAACAGCATTAGTTTCACCATTTGTAGTCAGTTTCCTACTGAGAACTGGGCAGAAGGTTCATGATTCTACTAGATTGCTGTGAAGGCTTCATAAGGGTGTTGTCAATAACTGACTTTACTATTTTTTTAAGATATTGATTTGTATTTTCTTCTTTTGCTCTTTTTATTTTCCTAAACACTGTCTCACTTCAAAGCTGCAGGTGAACCATATGAACAAGTATTTTAATCATATTCAGGCTACATATAATATATATACAATATTCACATCCATGTCTGATGCATTAGTGGTGACGATGGCTTTATTTGACTTTACACAAGCAATTGACCAGAAAGTCATTTTCTGATTTGTTGATTTTAACAATGTACACACATAACACATAAAGGCAAGAAAAGGTCATTTTTTTCTGGTTATTCACATTTATTTACGAAACAAAGTCAGAAAGTTCTGTATGTGACATACAGTATATGTCTAGTCATGAACATAGGTGGGTTTGTTCAGTTAGAAAGGAAAGGTAAAATCTAAAAACAAAATGAACAGTAATCTGCTGTTGGCTTTACAGCACATCAGGCCATATAAGACTTTAAGACTTTATTTATAATATTTATTTGTATAATATAAGTGCTTCATGAGTCAAATATAAAACATCAAAACAAATCAAAGTAAAATGTAAATGAAATTAAAAAGACTAAGGAGAAAAAGT